AGAAAAAAATTAAGCACATAATCAAGAGGAGATAACTTGATATTCGTATTAATAACAGGAAAAAAAGACTTGGGAAATTAACAAGCATCAGCAAGGTCAAAATGAGCCAATAGTGGAATATGACTACTTAAAAACACTACTATAATTTAATACTCTATTTTAAAAAGGCAGATAAAGAGAGGCGACATTACTGCTCTTCTGTGTTACATGTTGATAATCACCGGACTATCTTTCAAATTCTGTTACTTGTACTTCAAGATGTTCACTAGCAAACTAAAGAAAGGGTGATCAGTGTGCTAAGGGGCTGTAAGCCATATCATAGGAAGAATAAGGTCTATTTAGCTTGGAAGATCTGAGAAGAATTACCAGCTCACCATCCTTAAGTGTTTGAAGGGATATCCCCAGGAAGAGAGGAACGAGATTTTTACCCCTAAGGAGGAGGAGTGCTGGTCTGACTGGGAACATTCCAGGACCCTATGGGTTTAAATAAGCCACTCCCATGTGATGATTTGCTCTGGGTCCTTGTCTTTTGGCCTTCACCATTGGGGCCTGGTGTCCCATTGGAATGGGAAGATCTAAGGCCCTTGGAATGTTGGGGAGGAAATAGTGCAGGATTTCTGGACCTACTGAGTGGAGGGACAAGGGCTGCTTCTAAGTTGCTCCCCTCCTGGGGTGTTGCATTGTGGTTTGAGGCTAAAGCCTGGGTAAAATTAAAGTAGTTCATTGTCTTTGTAGGCTTATTTCCCTCCAATAAGTCAATGGGGAGATAACTAATTGAGAGTAGGATTCAGGTATTTGTAGGTAAAGTGTTGTAAATAATGTCTCCCAATACCATTTCAACTTCATATTCTGTAATGGGTAGAAAGTGACACGTTATGAAAAGGAACAAATTAGGTACTACAGGTGCTTGAAAGAGTGGGATTATTTTAGCTCTGTAGGATCAGGAAATTATCTTTTGAGGAATTAGCAATTTAGCTAAGACTTAAAGGATAGATAAAGGAGGAGCGGAGAGAGAAAATCAGAAAAGGTACTGAATTCTTACTTTCCCAAGTTAGCATCATCTGAGACATTTTGATTATGGCCTCACATTCTCACTCCATTGTCTAATCGGGTTAAAAGGGCCCATATTTTCTTCCCGGGGAGGTTGAAGTCTAAACAGTATGTTAACATCATTCCTTTTAAAAGGCAGCTTATCATTAGGTGGCCTCAAAGCCATAACCATGTTCTCAAGCTGCTACAATTTCTGTTTAGTCACTGAAAATAAAGAAGTCAGGGCTATGTGGGCAACTGGAAACATCTGAAATCAGGCATGAAGCCAGAAGTCAGGTTCTTATGGGGAAGTTGTTATAACCATCACATGGTGTGAATACTTCTCATTAGAGCTGAGGAGATAACATAAAAATAGGACTTTACCGCATAGACCTGGGGCATCAGCTTCTAATAGACTTGGGTTGGCCCAACCATAGGGATTTGCAAGTTCTGTCAATGAAGATCTGGGCTTGATTGTTTCTGAGAAACTCTGCTTTGATAAAATTGACAGTGGCTGCTTTTTGAGATGTAGAAAAGATAAATCAAATACACCTAGTTGCAAGTTGCCTGGCCCCTCCTTGAATGTGACTCCACTTCATAACTCCATTGTTCAGTAATCACAGGCACTCTTCCCATGCAAGTAAGTGTAATCTCAGGTGTTCTCTCAATAAACATCTTCCTTGAATAAATCTTAATGCCAATGTCACTTTGGGAAATGATCTGCTCTTGGTTTTTCTTATACCTTCGAAAGAATCAACCTCTATTGTGTGGTGGAGGTCAGTTTCCCAGTGGGAAATTAGAGATGACTTTTTTCATTGGGAATATTGAACATTTTAAAATGGTGTTTTTGTTTTTGTTAAACTCAGGCCACAACCAATTAGAGTCTGTGAAAATTTAGTGGTTCATGAGCAGCTGGGCCAGAACTAGGGCAAAGTGAGTAAGGCTTCAGGTGCAAATTTAAGCGGGTACCAAAACCCCAGTACTCCAGATAAATATTTTAATGCAATATTTAAAAAAGTTATTGTTAATGCAAAAACCCTATGGTGAACAAAATATCAAAATTTTAAATGAAAACAAGATCTACCCCTCTACTTAATTTATCCAAACAAGGACAATTTTGACAGTGGAAAGTGGTACTAACAGACAATACAGCTCTAACATTAATTATTGCAAAATAAAAAAGCATTATCAAATAATAAAACAGATAGTTACAGATTTATATCATGCAAAAAATGACAAAACCTTTCAATTACGAACATTCAGATGTTCACCAGCAAGACTGCTCAGCCTCTATTTTGTTTCATATTCACTGAACTATGATTTTCCATGTTTTCCACTGACCTCACCTCACATAGTTACCTTTTTAAAAAATTTACACTCGGGGGTGATCTCACCCAGTTTTGTGGATGTAAGACATTATCTGTTTGCTGGTCACTCCCAAATATACTTTTGTCAGATTTCATCTCTCCCTTGAGCACATATATCTAATTATTTGCCAGCTCTACTGGCACGTCTTACAGGCATCTAAATTTAACAACATCAAAATATGATTTTTGAGTTCCACCCCAAATCTACTTCTGTCACAATAGTCCCCATATTAATAGATAGTAACACTACCCATTCGGCTGCCTAAGCCAAAAATCTGAGTCATATTCCTCTGTTCCTCACCTCCCCACATCAAATGCATCAGTATGACCTATTGGTTTTACCTCCAAAGGATAACCACTAAAATGAAATTTTCATCAAGGGATTGTATTTTGTCTGTCCTGTTCAACAATGTCTTCTAAGGATGTAGACAGTGCCTGGCATATTGTAGGAAGCAAATATTTGTAGAATGAATCTTGAGTCTAACCATTTGCCTCCATTCCCATGACCAATGCCATAGTTTAAGCCACCAACATCTCTCACCTACATTTCTATGATAGCCTCCTAACTGATCTACTGCTGCTACTCTTGACCCCACAGACTATCCAATCAATAGGTTGATATTTGCCATATTCAAACTAACCAGTGGATTCCAATCAGTTAGAATAAAACTCATTCCTTTATACTGGCCTGCAAAGTCCTATACGAACCTGAAATTACCTATTCCTCCAACCTTATTTCCTAATACTTTGTTTTTCTAATTCTCTACTGCCTGCTCTGATACTATCCAGGTTTCCCCAAACTTACCTTATAATAAGACTCAGCTGGGACTCTTGTGAAATGTACTAACTCTTGGTGATCTCCCCTGAAAACTCTGATTCATAAGGTTTGGGGTGGAACACAAGAATCTGTACTTTTAACAAGCGCTTCAGGTGATTCTTATGGTAAGATACAGATACAGCCTAAAAACCCTCCACACAGCATTCCCAGAAAGTCCCACCAATTATTCAGAATTGGGAAGCAAAGTGAAACTCATTTCCATCTCTGGGCTAGGAGAGCATGCAGTCAGTGGCCACCTACTATGCTAAGCCAGAGAATTCTGGGAATACAGTTTATGTACTAAAATACCCTCACATTCTAGTAATATTTCCTGGGTGACACAAGTGACCTCAAATTTGTGTCACTTTGTGCTAGACTTCTGTGGATGAAGTTGAAGAAATGGTTATCATCAACAAGGAGGCAGGGAGGAGAAAATTGAGAAAGGCTTGGTATTCAACAATGTACAGCAAAGAGAATATGTGTGTGTGTGTATGTGTCTTTAGGGTTTGGCGGGACAAAATGTTCCTGAGAGGTAAGGAAGAGAAAGAGACAGAGCAGCCAGCAGGATACTAGCACAGAGTAGGTGCAGGAAATATTTTGATTGACGTAGTCGGGACTCAGCGAGCTCATACACACACAAGCTTCTCAGTGTAAGCGACATCTAAATCACAACAAATGTTCAGCTTTATGTCTAGCTATTTGGAAGCATTAAGATTGATAAGGAAACATTTTTGTTTTTGCTCTGACAGAGTAGCATATAACTGGCTTTACCATCAGGCTTAACTTATCAATTTTGGGGGGAATAGATTTTGAAAAATCGCTCTCATCTCCTATATGTAAAATTTTAACTTTAGTTCTCTAGTGATATTGTTACAGGCACTAGCGTTCTCCATATCAAAGGGCATGTGTCTCTCCCAGAATCTGAAACTGAAAACAAGTGCAAGCCTTCTGGTGTCCTATATGAAATTGGATTATAAACCAGAACAGTGCTTCTCAAATGTGTACACTGAAATTGCCTGGGGAGCTTCAGAAATACTGACTCTTGTGCCCCATCCTGAGACTAGGATTTAATTGGTGTGGGATGTGGCCAAGGTTTGGAATTTTTCAAAGATCCCCAGGCTATTCTAATGAGGAGGCAAGTTTGGGAACCACAGAACTGAAGATTTTGAGCCATGTATTTCAAACCTCAAACCTCTGGATAGTGTAAAGTTTGGGTTTCTGCATTAAAGTGTGAGTCAAGACAATAAGATCAGTCTGATTGGATTTATCAAGTTGCAGTCAACATGGTTAGGGACCTTATTTACATAAAGCCAGAGTAGTTGATGAAAAAGTCAATCAAAGCAGTTGTATACACAAAGTCACACACACGAATTATCAATGTTCAAAACAACAGGATTTTAAAGTAAGTTTGTCAAATTGAGTATATATCTTCAATTAGAGTTGCCAGATAAAACACAGAGCTCCCAGTTAAATTTGAATTTCAGATAAACAATGAATAACTTACTAGTATATCTCATGCAATATTTGAGACATACTTATACTAAATATTGTTTATTTTTTATCTGAAATTCAACTTTAACTGTGTGCCCTGTATTTTTATTTGCTAAATGTGAGAACCCTGTCCCAATTTTAAAAGACTAACCTGAGCAGAAATTCAGTATAGTATGACAAATTAGGACAAAAATTAACCTTAGCGTCTTGCTCATTATTTGTCCTGTTTTCTGAATTGCATTTCCTGGTAAACCACCTCAAGCTCTGCCTGACTTTGCACTGAGGGTCAACTATACCTTATTCTGCCTCTTCTGTCTTCTCCGGAGCCGTAGGAACTCCTTGTGTTGCCTGGAGACAAAGTTCACTGCTGCATATTCCAGTAAGGCGGCGAACACAAACAGAAGGCACACCGCCATCCAGATGTCAATCGCTTTTACGTAGGAGACCTGAGAGAGAGAGAGAGAGAGAGAGAGAGAGAGAGAGAGAGAGAGAGAGGGGCGCCATGAAAACTTGTGCAGAAACCAGGTTCCTAAGGTTGTGAGTAGCAGAATAACCTCATTTCCCTTCATCAAGGATTTTCTAGCCTAATAAAGTGCTTAAGCATTTTCCATTCCAGTTCGTGGATTCTGAGCAGAGCAGTGAAAGTAACACACCCCCCTGCCCCCGGCCCTTGTTCCATCTCTCTCAGTATATCCCATCTGCTCAAGTAGCCTCACCCCTGAGACCAGCTCCAAAGATGACTACAAGAATTTCCTTAATGAAAAAAAAAAAGAAATAAAAACAAAACTTTGAGGTAAAATAGAATGGACACTATTCTCAAAACTGCTCATTTCTTTCTATTTTTTTCTTAACATGTAAAAACTAATATAATTAAGATAATTCCAAAACTTGGAGAAATAAACTATGTAAGGCCTTGGGCCCTTCAAAACCCATTTGTAATTTTCATCCATCTATTGATCCTAACTGACATGAAAACACATTTCTAAATAGTTTTAAACTATCACAATTCAAGAATATTCAGCCAAAATAAAGCATCAGGGCTCTAGTGTTGGGAAGGTATCTGGTTAAAAAGCAAACTTTTATAACCCTTCAGTGGTTGGTTGAGTGTTTAGTACATCTTACAATTTGATAAAGCAGATTCTGAAAGCAAATACTTTTCACTTGCAATGGAAAATGCCCCCATCTTATTCAACTTCCAGTTATTTTTGAAAATATAAGGAGGAAAATAACTCAAAGTTGTAATATATTGGGCCCCAGGCTACAAAGGATGTTTATCAAACTGCCAGCTGAATGTGTACTGTCTAGTTCTAATTTTTAAATAGGGTTTCCTACTTTTTTGATAGCTGACACAGTACTTGCCAGCCAGAATTTTAAGCATTTTACATGTGTTCATTTTCTAACCGTTACAACAGTGGTATTACCCTCATCTTCTGATGAGGAAACTGAGGTATAGATGGGTTAAACTTTTACCCAAGGTCACAAAGCTAATAAGTGGCAGAGCTAAGATTGGAATTGGAACCCAGTCTGACTAGTGGATTTCCTTCCCGGACACACACCAACACCATACTAGGATTATATAGTTTGTATCTTGCGTTTCCCTTTAACCTGTATAGTGAGCATTTCCCATGTCATCTAACTTTCTTCTAAATCATAATTTCCAATGCTTGCATAATGGCCTGTACCATGATTAGTCATTCTGTATTATAGGACATTTAGGTGATTTTTAGCTTTATTTTTTGCTACTATAAATTTTGAGGTTATGAGATTCTTTCCCCAAATATTTGACTGTACATCTGATTATTAATTAGATCAACATTTAGACTGGGATTATGGGAGTAAATGATAAGAAAATAGGATCTTGACTTAGAAAGTTAATAGCAGCACAGAAGGTGTAAATGCAGAGACTCTAGAGTAAGATGCCCCAAGTAAGAAACACTGCTCTCTTCCTGACCACCGCTATAACTTTGCCAAGTTGTTTAACCTCTCTCTGCCTCCCTTCCTCATCTGTATAATAGGGACAATAATAGTACCTATCTCATAGAGTTATGTGGATAAAATCACTTAATATATGCAAAGTGCTTAGAATAGTGTCTGGCACAGAATAAGTGCTATATAAGTGTTTGCAATTGTTTGATTACATAAGGGTGCGATTTTTGTTAATGGAGAAATTTTGGAAGAGGCAAAAAAATCAACAAGGAAAATAAAAACCACCCACAATCCTAATATAGTCCAGTTATCATTTTTTTTTTTTTTGTGAGAAGATCAGCCCTGAGGTAACATCCATGCTAATCCTCCTCTTTTTGCTGAGGAAGACCGGCTCTGAGCTAACATCTATTGCCCATCCTCCTACCTTTTTTTTTCCCCAAAGCCCCAGTAGATAGTTGTATGTCATAGTTGCACATCCTTCTAGTTGCTTTATGGGGGACGCCGCCTCAGCATGGCTGGAGAAGCGGTGCATTAGTGTGTGCCCGGGATCCAAACCCGGGCCGCCAATAGTGGAGCATGCGCACTTAACCACTAAGCCATGGGGTCGGCCGACCAGTTGTCATTTTTAAGGTTACCACTTGCCTTACACTATTGGTCTCAGTCAATCTGAATTACTTGTCGGTTCGACACAGGTTGTGACAAAGTGATCCAGCACTTTATCATCTACAGCACTTTGAATTTATCACTTTTCTTACCTGGGATGCTTATTCTCATTCTTTCTGATTGATAGACCTCTCAAAATCCTTCAGGACTTGACTTAGATACCAGCTCCCCTGGGAAGCCTCCCTAACCTTCCTGCTTTCTCCCATCTGGATTAGGGGCCCTTATCACTCTCTATTGAACCTGTCTTTTCCTACTTAGACCACCAGCTGTCCTGACCCCACTACTAGACTATAAGCTTTGGGGGTTTTTTTGGCAGGCCCTGTGTAGTGTTACTTTTTGTATCAGCAACACAGGACCTGACAAATAGTGAGTAAGCATTAGATATGTGGGATGGATGGATAAATGGATGATTGAATGATGGACAGATGGAAGGATGGATGGATGGATCTGGCCATCTTTCCATCTTTGTGCTTTAATTTCAACAATTCTACACTATAAGACATGACCCACAATTGCATATATTTGATATTTCTAAGAGTGGACTATTAGTGCATTTTAATTCTCTCAGCACACCTAGCATACCTGGAATGTTTCTTTCCTTAATAAACAATAATTTGTCTTATATTTACACTCCTGGAGAAAGCATATTCTCCTTTAATAATAGAACATTACCAATCACAGCATTCCCAGTTATATATTATCTAGATGTGCTGCAAATGTTTTAAGACCCTATAATGAGAAGGATTTGTCAGTGCCTGAGATATGTCTACACCAAGAGCTAAGTCCAATAGAGCTGACCATCATTCCTCCCCTTCCTGGTGTTTACAGTATTCAGTAATGTATAAACCTTTTCCCCATCTCCTTTTGGCCATCAGCAGGCTAAGCACGTATTTGGCTTCTTTTATAGCTGCTCATAAATGAATCCTTTCAGTCTCAATCATTTTGCTTGGTCTCTGAGTTTCCTCCAAATCACAAACATCTTCCCAGCATTGAAGTGCTGGTATTAAATGCATTATTCACACGGATTTAGAGGGTGTTGTGAGACATCGATTACATATGATGTGATGTCCCTCGGTGCTGGTATCTCAGGATTGAAATGCATTTTTGTTGCTTTTACCCAGCTCTGATGCCAGATTCTCTCTCTTTGGCTGCTAATCCTTAGATGTTTTTAGCTCACATCTTCCCCTGTCACCTTCCTTTTATGATTCTTGGGCTTACATGGTCCCTTCCTGAACTACTTTACTACAATCTTGCAAAATAGTTTTCAAAGGTAATTAAGCTCTCAAAATGCTATTGTGATCCACTGAGTTAGTATCTTTCCAGGCTATTTAATTCAGAAAAATAAACGTTAAGGGCCTACCACGTGCAAGGCGCTATACTAGGTGCTAGTGGGAGGTGGGGCAGAAGATACAAGGATAACTAAGATGAACACTGACTCTTCCCAGGACTTTTCAGATTACACTCCAGGGGACGCCGTTCACACCGCACTTCAGAAAGTATCATTCACGTAGGTCAGGGAGCAGCAAATTATGGCCTATGGATCAAATCTTGCCTACCGCATGTTTTATAAATAACATTTTATTGGGTCACAGCCATATTCATTCATTTACATATTATCTATGGCTGCTTTTGCATTAAAATGGCACAGTTGAGTAGTTGTGACAGAGACCATATGGCCTGCAAAGCCTAAAATACTCACTATGGGGCTTTTTACAGAAAACATTTGTCAGCCCCTGACCTAGACTGTAGCATTGTCTGTTTTGTCGTGGGGTTGTAAATCCCAGTGACCCTGTTTAGTGCTTGAGAAACCTATGGTCTACTGAGGGGGACAGTCAAGTGAACATATAACTGATACAGAGTAGATGGTCCCATGTGCCAAAGTAGAGGAAAGATCAAAAGGCTGCTGGAATATGGAGAGGTTGATGTTGGCAGGGAAAAATCAGAAAAGGCTTCATTCCTGGATGGTGTGGCATTTGACTTAGGGCTTGAGGACAGCCAAGACTTTGATGGGTGGAAGATGCTGCAACAGCAAAGCCATGAAGATGGGAGACAGTAGGTGGGCTCAGGGATGGTGAACAACCCAGTGACCAGGATATGCTGGGTACCTGGGAAGTACATGGTGAGGTGTAAACAGATAGGCTCAGCCAGGCAGAGGGGTTTGGGTTTCAGATTGCTCGTAAAGATAAGTTAACGGTGGTTTTGAGGTAGGGTATAGATGCCTAAGTCCTTTTCTAATTATCCTGAATTTCTTTGTAAGCAAAAGCAAGAGTCTTAGCAAAAGCAAGAGTCTTAGCAAAAGCAGGCGTTTTCCCTCCTTATAGAAATTTGCCTCCCCTCCTCTTGCCACTTTCAAGTCTATGCAGGGCCAGATCTCTTCCAAGCTTTGTAACGTCTCTGAATCCTTTGCTGGGTCTTGCTCTTCTATTTGTTATTTTTGTGTTCCTTGAACTCTATCCTCTTCTATTTTTCCTCTATCTTCATGTCCTCAATCAATTCATCCACTCCTGTAGTTTTCTTCTTAGTCCTCTGTGTGCGTGTGTCTCCTATAGCAGAGATTGGCCAAGTTCTTATGAATCGCATTTCCTCTTCCTGGGACACCGGTAAACTAGATTTTCTGGATCAGTTGGATTCCCCAGTGGAATGTGGGCAGAAGTAATATATGCCACTTCAGGGCTTCTAAAATCTCCCCTGAGGTCCTTAGGACTTAACTCTTCTGCAGCCACCTTGGATGTCACCCATTTAAGATGGCGCTACCATAGATGGAAGAAGCCTGGACCCCTAGAAGACTCACTCCACTCACTCCACATTGGAGCATAATGTGAGTGAGAAATAAACTTGTGTTGTATTAAACCACAGA